GTGAAAGAGGGATGCCGCCACATTATCCTCATGGTATCTCCAACAGTTCGAGATACACTAATTACAGCGAAGCACATTTCCATCTTTTGGGGGAGCATCAAAGTAGATGATTACATACCACTGCTTCGATGTTACAAATGTTGTGGATTTGCTCATACGGCGNATCCAGAAATTAAACGCTTACAAAACCGAGATAAACAAAGCACGCACGAACGCGTGGCGCAAATACTGCTCGGAAATAGGGAATAAAACCACTTGGAGTGACCCCTATCACATCATCATGAAGCCCAGGAAAAACATCGGCATCCCAGCCAATATGGAGAAAGTGGACGGTGGGTACACCACTGATCTGGATGATACGATTAAACACCTTTTTACTACCCATTTCCCTCCAGACGACCAAGAGGAAGATAACCCAGAGCAGAGGAATATCAGGAGAGAAGTCCTCTACCCACCTATCACTGACGACGACATCCCGTTCACTTTCACAGAGGTGGCCACTGCTATCAATTCTTTACGGAACAATAAGGCCCCCGGCATTGATGGGATTACGGCCCGTATGGTGAAAAGGGCATTCAAAGCCATTCCTATCGCCTTCGTCCTTAGCTTCAACTTGTGCCTCACCAGACATCAATTTCCAAAATGCTGGAAACATGCTGTTGTGAAATTCATACCCAAAATAGGGTCTCCCAACTCAGTAAAAGCCACAGATCTGAGGCCAATTAGCCTTCTGCCCATACTGGGCAAGGTTCTCGATGGACTTCTAATCAATAGGATTAACTACCATCTCATGAATAACAACCACCTGCATCCCCATCAATTTGGCTTTGTCCAAGGGAGCTCCACCTATCATGCTATCCACAGGGTAATCCAATTCATAGGCAGTGCCTGGAAAAACGAAGAGCACGTAGTGTTGATCTCAATAGATTACAGGAACGCATTTAACTCTCTGTGGTGGCCATCCCTTCTTTCGCAGCTCAAGACCTTTAACTGTCCACAAAACCTATTCAAGCTGCTCACCAGCTATCTGAAGGACCGTACTGCTGGTTTTCACGAGTTGGGCACACCTGTCCTCTGGCCTGTTGCCCGGGGTTGCCCCCAGGGTTCCCGTTCAGGGCCCGGCCTTTGGAACATTATGTACAACAGCCTTCTTGACATTGTCCCTAACACGACTACCGGCACCTGGGCTACCCAGGGTTATGCCGACGATACCTTGGTTATGATGTCCAATAAAAACAGTAAGAAATTGCTGCAAGAGGCCAATTCTTTTCTTATCCAAATTTTAGAGTGGAGCAACTTTAATAAACTATCCATTAACCTAGATAAGACTACCTGCATGCTAATGTCAAAAGGGACTCAACTCAAGAAACCACACACAATCAAAATAGGAGGTACTAGGATAAGATATAGTGATAGCATAAAATACTTGGGCATCACTATCGATCAGGGTTTGAATTGGAATATTCACATAAAAAACGTTTGTGACAAGGCCATAAAACTTTCGAACCTTCTCTGCTTTCTCGCAGGAAAAAACTGGGGCCTCAACAGCAAGAACTTAACAAATATCTATCGCCTGGCCATAGAGCCGGCCATCCTTTATGGCGCGCCCTTTTGGGGGGACGCAGTGGATAAAGTTTACGTTAAGCGTAAGCTTCTAAAGGCTCAACGTGTCAGCCTCCTCAAGATCACCAAGGCCTACAGGACTGCCCCCACATCTGCCCTACAGGTGATTACTGGAATCCCTCCAATACATCTAAGCGTAAAGGCCAATGCAGCTAGTTGGTATCTCACCAACCTCAGTCTCTCAGATCGTACGAAGACTGAGCTAATAAGTTATCTAAATATTGGCATCCTTCCCAGCCTGGATATGCAACAAACCCTCATGCTCAACCACAAGAACACCCAAGTTACTCTTCACAGGCATTGCAGGCATCCTGCTTTATCTCCTACCGTCAATCTTCTCACTGATGCTAGTGTTTCCAACATCAACAATGCCAACACCATCTTCACAGATGGGTCAAAATCGTTTTTTGGTACCGGCGCTGCCATCGTGCACAGAAATAGCAACTGTACACATCCAGTCCACAAAAAGGGCTTTAAACTTGCAGGTTACTGCTCTATCATGCAAGCAGAACAGTACGCCATCTACAAAGCATTGGTCTACATCAACAATTCCAATCAGCTCCGCGGGAAGCAGGTCTGCATCTGCTCTGACAGCCAGGCCGCTCTCTGGAGCATAAGCAAGAAAACCCAGCGTAACCATCTCCACCAACACATCACAGACGAACTGAAGAAACGCAAAAGCAACCTCGTCTACTTTTCGTGGACCCGCGCCCATCAAGGTGTAATAGGAAATGAGGAAGCAGATGTGCTGGCTAAGGAGACAGCCACTTCTCCTGTTACACCAAGCTTTGATGACATCCCAACGGTGGCTGTCAAGAATCTCATTAGAGAAACGCTCATCCACATGTGGCAGAGGGAATGGGAAGAGGCGGACACTGGTAGGACTACCTTTAAATTCCTGCCTAACATTCCCAACCGTCTCTCTCTCAACCACATAAATGGCAACTATTTCACCAGCCAACTCCTCACTGGCCATGGGAACTTTCGCCAATATCTCAACAGATTCCACCACAGCGATACCCCCTTCTGTCAGTGTGACAGTGGCGATATAGAGGATCCCCTGCACTTCATCTTTGATTGCAATCTCTATGACACACAGAGGGATCAACTCATTCACAAAGCCCTCACTGAAGGATTCAACTGGCCCTGCACGCCCGATCTCCTCATCAACAACAGTGCCACCTACAATGGACTTACCGATTTTATCCGGGAAACCGGCGCTTTAAATCCAAACTTCACCAACCGGAATCAGACAAGGGACTCTTCACACAACAGTTGACCTCTACACCAGGGGCCGCGTTATAACCGGAAAAACATGCACCCGTTTGTAACTATCACCATTTTCAACTCCGGTATTTATATTTATTCTATAACCACAAAGCTTTTCTTTCATATGTAACGCGCCATTATTACGTGTACACTCTTTCTTTTTGCATACTGCACATGTATCCACCTATTTATATTACTGCGTTGTTCGCGCTGACGATTTCCCTCATCTTCACCATCTTTCCTATCACACTTCTACCCCCCTTATCCATTACCCCTTCTCCCTTTTTCTTTTCACCCAGGCGATACCCATGAGTAGTCCTGGTCTTCCGCCCCTTTCATTAAAAAAAAAAAAAAATAAAAATGCCCTCAACCCACAGTGCCCTATCACTATCAGAATGAAGGAACTGACAATATGCCAGACCAATTATGGGGTGTAATCCAAAAACAAATAATTTGAGGTTACTGCAGGTCAATTTGCAGAAATGCAAGGCAGCGACGACTGATGCCTTCTATCAAGCAACAAACAGGAAAATTGATATTCTTACTATTCAAGAACTTTATGTATATAAGNCGTGTTTTGAAAATGTTGAATCAAATTAGTCTAGAATCGATTAATTTTACGAAAAAAAATTTTTCAAACAGCTGTAGTCCGTAAACTGCATATGTGCCGGTCTTCCACCCCTTTCATTAAAAATAAAAAAAATAAAAAAAATAGTTTACATGGATTATTCCCAAAAAATTATACGTGTTTTGAAAATGTTGAATCAAATTAGTCTAGAATCGATTAATTTTACGAAAAAAAATTTTTCAAACAGCTGTAGTCCGTAAACTGCATATGTGCCGGGCTGAAGTTGGCTTATCTATTTAAGGACTCGTAGGACATGAATTTCATAAAAAGCGGAACGTATCTAATGTGTCATAGGGGAGTTGACTGTGTTAAATTTTGGTTCGATATCGATTTTTTAAACGTGGAGTTATTATATACAATGCTAATTTTTAAGTTTGGATGAATATAGTTGGATGCAGTGCCGTAATTAAGGCGGTGCCAGTGTTACTCATGCACATGGCGCAGAAATGATCTGCATCACGTTTTGGGTGATAGTTTTGAGCGTAGTTACAGAAGCTCGCACCAAACGCATAAAAGGCTAGTTATGGTGCTGGTTTGATGCAAGGCCTAATCAGATCTCTAATTTTATATTCATTATTGGCCACTTTTTGCTCTATTGATACAATAATGTAGACAATTACATTTAAAGAAGTTATAGTTTTAGTTAATTAAGGAATTATATAAATGATGACATTACATGCTAATGTAATCTAGATATAACAGTAGTTCTGATTAGTGAAGAATTTTCTGTTTGAAGTGTCACACGAATATATATAAACTAAAATTAAAAAGGAATCTAAATTACAGTATGTAAAGCTTTGCTACTCAAAGAACTTTCTAGCCCAAGCGAGTAAGCCGAAACCTGTAAAAATGCTAATTTAGTTTTCAAAATGGTTTTCTACATAATAAATGGCGCTGCAAACAAAACTGTGAAACGACATACACCTAACCTAAAATGAAATTTCTGTTTCAATAATTTCGATAAAAATCGAAATTGCAGTGGTTTCAGACTATATAGGGCAAGTCAAAGGCAACTTTCTCATGTGAAAATGAAATAACTTTTTTACTTTTAATTATTTTATAAGTTTCTTTTTAACATTTTAATACACACATGATGGAGATTTTTTTGGCATAAACATTAAAACTAACATGTTATAAATCACCTTCCGTTTCGCTCTTCACAATAGCAAACTCTTTATATGGTAAAGTGACTTTTGTCCCACCCTGTACTATAACATATGTCTACTTTGAAATTCACTTTTATACAGAAATATAATAATTATCATATTCAATAGTTTAGTTTATACTTAAAAATTATATCCTGATGTAAGGAATTGTCAACATGAAAAATTGTATGTTAAATCATGTAAATTGCTATCATTATTTGTAGTTAGTAAGTTTAATTTAAGGATAAATTGCAACATAAATCAATAGATTTAAAATTCAGTGTTTCCTTTGTAGGTGTTCATAGACGTAGATAGTACTGTACAATGACCTACGAATGCAAGATGTGTGATAAGTCGTTCGCTAGAAAACAGGGTTTAACATATCATATCAGAATCCACACAGGAGAAAAACCGTACAAATGTGGAACATGTAATAAACGTTATGGTCGTTCGGACTCTTTGAATCGTCATCTCAGGATCCACACAGGAGAAAAACCATACCAATGTAAAACATGTGATAGACGTTTTGCTGAACTAAGCACTTTGAATAGTCATCTCAGAACCCACACAGGAGAAAAACCATACCAATGTAAAACATGTGATAGACGTTTTGCTGAACTAAGCACTTTGAATAGTCATCTCAGAACCCACACAGGAGAAAAACCATACAAATGTGAAACATGTAAAAAATGTTTTGCTCAATCGCCCCATTTAAATAGACATATCAGAACTCATGCAGGAGAAAAACCATACAAATGCATAACATGTAATAAATGTTTTTCTCACTCAAACAGTTTGAATCGTCATCTCAGAACCCACACAGGAGAAAAACCCTAAAAATGCAATACATGTAATAAATGCTTTACTCGCTCGAACACTTTGAATAATCATCAGAGAATGCACACGAGAGAAAAAAAATAAATGCATAACGTAATAAATGTTTTGCTTATTCGAGCAATTTGAATCGTCATCTCAAAATCCATATCAGAAAAGAACCTTACAAGTACAGAATATGTGATAAACGTTTTCGAGAACGCATCGTGTTTAACTAATCATCATAGATTCTGCAGTAGAGAAACACCCTACAATTGTAAAATATGTAAATGTTTTTCTGGAGAATGGATATTAGATTGTCATTGCAGAAGACATCTGAAAGAAAGAGTAAACAACAATGGAATACCCCATCAAAGTTTCTCTAACAAAATGAAATAGAGTAACAATACAACGACTTATTCAAATATATTTCCCAGCAATTATGTTAGTAGCAATCGTTGTTTCGAAAGGCATAATCATTTAATTCAACGTCTTCCCACACATTCTGAATACACAAAATTGATTTTGTATTGTGTGTAATAGTCAATTCCAAACTGAAGCTTACCTGGAACCTCATCGTATAATGCACAATATATATCCATTTAATTACATTATTCGTTTTTAAGTGTTTTGCAACCATAAGGTTCCAGATGAACAAAAAACAATATACAATTCATCAGTCAATTCGTCTTGCCATTGCAATAAATGCTGTGTAACATTTGCTGGAGAAAAAGATTATGAAGTTCATCTTGAATATAATATAAATTTTGTTTAAAAAATTTCGATTGAAAATATGCAAACTAAAAAGTTTATTGACAATTTTACGTATTTTAAAGTAATTTTAAAATAAAGTTTATTGTGATGATAATTAATTTCTTACATTTATATTCATTTAATGCATTTAAACTAAATTTAGTGATAGGATAAAGTTGTTTTTCATTAATTAGATAACATTTTTAGTTTCATATGTTAGTTATAATACTTATATGATCAACAAGCGTGGCAGTTTTTCAGCAGCATTTTTTCTCAAAATTTTTCAAAAAATTTCAACAAATTCAAGTTCTCTAATTTTTTTGAGCTGCAGAAAATTCAATAAATAACGTTTTTAGTGCGCGCCGAGTTCACTTGCAAAAATAAGTTGAAAAAGTTCCGGCAGCTCGCAGACACCGCGCTATCTTTTGGGTACGAAACATTGGGCATAAAAAACACGCTCGCGATTATCGCTATCATCAATCGGGACCATAGCGATCATCTTTTTCGCTATCGATTCTTTTTTACAATAATTTTTTCTATTTCAAGAAAAAAAATCGATTTTAGTTTGATTTTGAAGCGAGATATCGGAATTTATTATTATACTCAGCGAAGTCTCATTGTACTCTGCGAAAAATCGTGTTTTGACCCGCGAGAAATAACAGCGACAAAAATTTTTTAAATTAATTGCGCTAATACAAATTGCGCTAATTGTACAATGTTTGTTTCTTGCGTAACAATTTCATTTAGATATTGTCTCAAATACATTTCTTTGATGAAATTTCCAAAATATTTTTAGTTATGAATAAAAAATTAACGCATTTGACATCATGTCGTAAATTGCCGAATTTTTGATGGTCCACCCATTTTTTTATTGTTTTATTTCGTGCACGGATAGCATTTATATCTAAACTATCAGCGAAGAATTTTGATTGTTTCTATAATATTTTAAGCGATGTCAATTTTTATATTAGTGATCGATTTAAGCGTAACACATGAGTATATCAAATTAAAAATTAAATTAATATACAGTAGAGCGTCGATTTTCCGAATCAATTGGGGACTCGGGTTGTCCGGATAACTGATATTTCGGATAACTGATTTACGTACGAAAAAATAGTTTAACGTATCCGATTTCGATATTTTTTTCCGTTGCGTGTCTTTTCGCGTTGAATTTTCGTCGATGTTAAGCCTAACAACGACTATTGTATCGTTAAAAATTATTATTTTATTTTGTACACACAAAACAAATATATTTAAAAATATAAAAATAATAAAAAATTATACTTCAGATGTTAATTTAGTATCAAAAACGTAAAATATTTGAGTAGCCCAAGACATAGCCAAAGATTAAAGCGCCACAGCACTGGCGAAAATTTAAATTTGCCGACTGGAATTCTTTCGGATGATTGACTTTCGGAAAATCGACGCTCTACTGTATATATATATCTGAAAAAAACTATTTGTTAAATCCTAATAAATACATTCTTATGAGTAAAATAAAGTGAAAACTTTGTCAATAATTCGAATTACATGTCAGAAAGAAGTGTTTGAAGTAGAGTCATAAAACAATTAACGTTTATTGACTTTTGCGGTAGAGGGTAACACGTGGTCTGTTGACAAATATTCTGGTAGTAGTGAGAAATTTCTACTTAATTCACTTTAACGTGTCATATTTCTTCCCCATTTATAAACAAACCGGATGGCAATTGGTGAAACTCGAAATAAATTACAGCGAGTTAAAATTTGATGTTTATTTTTTGCATTTTTCGTATCAAATTACACTAAATTCGATGCAAATAAAGCATTTGTGTCAATTTAAAAATATTATACACTGTTTAAGAGTAGAGAAAATGAAGAAAACAAAGATGTAATAATAATTTTTGAAGCAAAGCCAATAATTTTACAATTTTAGGGAAAAAATGGAGTCTGTGAAACGCCACTTCATTAAAGTGCGGTCATAAATCTTGCAATTTGGGAAGGAATAACTCTAGTGTACATAATATTTATTTATTAATAAAAAGTTTTCGGCTTGCTAGGCATGTCGTTTCTCAGGATCCAATTATTAGCAAGGTAGAGGCAGAAGTTTTTAACGTGAAAATATGTGTCAGACGTTCATCGCCACTTTCCTGTAAGCCTAGAAGTTTGACAATGGTGTTTGAATAGTTAGTGGAATCATACTTGACATTCCAAACACCACTGTCAAACTTCTAAGCTTACAGGAAAGCATCGCTGAACGTCTGACGTACACATTTTCACGTTAAAAACTTCTGCTTCAACCTCGCTATTAACTGATTAGAAGATAAGAAATAAAATTTATGCGAGTTTAGTAGTAAAAAATTACAAATTTTTTGAACTATTTCAAACGATAAGTAAGTAAAATATAATTAAAATACAAGTTGATTCGGAGTTAAAGACAATGTCACTTACTTCCTGTCAGTATCAAGCGCAATGCATTTCTTCCTTGGAGCTGGAGAGGATTCGGAGCACAGATAATTTATTTGATCCATTGCTGTTGTTTTTATTAATATTTTTTGATGTTTAAGATGTGTGCCATTGAGCAACGACCGTTAACTGTTCATTTGCCTGTTAGTTAGAATTTTTTAACGTTTTCGTCCTATTCTTCTTAAGTAACTCATGGAATTTTATGAAAAAGCGGCATAAACTAACTAAAATTTTCGAAGACAATGCAGAGATATCTGCAATGGTAATTTGATTTTCCATGCAGAAATCGATGGCATAACTCTATGAAATCTTACATTTTTTTATTTGGAATTTATGTCGATCCACGCTTTAAAATTTTACTGAGTGCACAGCAATTAATAAAAGCAAAAGGACTCTCAAATATAGAAAGAGACGTAAAAAACAATAGAATTTTCATTATTTCAATACAAAGCAAATAAGTGAAGGATTTGAATTCTGAATACAACCATCTCAGTCAACATTCCAATTATCGCGACAAGAATATCATATTTTATTACTATTTCAGAAGCTTAATAGTGTTGTTTTATTACAAACTTATCAAAATTATTTCTGCATGTTATAACTCTTTTTTATTCTTTTTATGTACTCTTAATAAAATATATTTTGGACTCATATTGAGGGTATCTACAATAATGGTTAAGGTCCCTGTAAAAGCAAAATGAAAGTTCTTCAATTTTTGCGTTATTTGTACTTTAAATATGTTCTTATCCTATGGCATACATCTTATTGATTTTAATAATGTATTTGAATATTTGAACGCTAAATTGTATTTAAAAATTTGATTTTTACACCAAACGTAAATTTATTTTATTGTTTATATTTTAATAATAATGTTAAAATTCGGAATTTATTTGTACCTTTGTTTTGTACAGTTTAATATGTAAGAACTGTATAACAACTGAAGTGGGACAATACGAGTCCGAAATACATTTGTGACCGAAGTGTCGGCACCACGGCAAGATGACACTGCATGTCTTAAGCGACATAGAGATCGCGAAAACTTTCGCGTATTTAGGCGTTGGTTCCGTGACAGAAGTGATACGAAAGACGGCGTTTTAAAGGAAGTGCATGTAATACAACATTAACAATAATAAATACTTGTTTATTAACTATTATCTATTTACAAATATGTTGAATACAGGCTATTTACAATTGATAGGTTGAACATTATGACTATGCCTTTTTATACTTTTATAAGGATAGTATATTGTATGAAAGTTTTAGTATTTATTCGCGCAATTCATACGCGTAAGAGAGAGTTTACATAAATTCGTAGGCATATAAATACCTTTTATAGAATATAAGGATGCGCTTCGTAGCGAATCGGGTTGAGGACTTGAATTGATGACACGACGAATTGATAATTCGGAAGGTTCAATGAAAATCTTTGGAAAGTCTCGGTATATTTGGTAAGGTCTTCATCTTTGGGCTATTCCGGTGACAGGAGTAGGGATTATAAATTTACCGACATTTTCATTTACCGGTAATTAGGTAGATGAAAATTAAAATACCGTTTTACCGGTAAATTACCGGTAAATTTTTTCCTGAAAAATAAAATTAAGGTGATAAAAAATATAAGTCATTTTGATTTCCATTTTACATTTTTTTTATTTCAAAAATATAGAATATAAAAAATATAAAAATCAACGTGTTATTCTAAACAAACTATAATAATAACTTTTAGAAACAGAAATAAAATAATACAGAAGAATAAAAATACAACAGAAATAATATATAGTACCTAATACAATTTTATTCATTACCATTTTTTTAAAAAATAACTTTCCAAGAAACTTAAATTATTTATAGTCTTATCTCTTAATTTTGACGATCTGTATCTGTAATCTGAACGATTTACACCGTCTCTCAAACCCAAGAAAGTTTAAACTAAAATAAAACAAAAAATATCTCACATAAAATTAATAATTATGTAATATTGTTGCTTTCACTTACCTGGTTTTGTTTTTTATTTTCAATGTCCCTTTAGCCCTTTTAAATATCTATAAACACAATATTTTCTATATAAAAATTTTTAGTATGGATTTTTAATTTACCGAATTACTGGTAAATTTTTGAAATTTACCGGTAAGTTTACCGAATGTTTTTTTGTCAATTTATCGGTTAACCAGTAAACTGGTATACAATCCCTAGACAAGAGTGTTGTCAGATGGAGGGGAGTCACTTCGGTAGGAAATCTTCGGAGTCGGTAATGTATCCGTGTACTACTGAAGGCGAACTTTCAATAAAGACGATCGTCATCGATTGATATTTTGTTGTTCTTACTTGATCCAATCTAATTTTTTGCTTTATTTGGGGTGAGGTTTTTTTTAACCTTTCTTGTACATAAATAATTCAGGAGTTATGGAAGTAATTACATTTCTGACACCAGATTTGACAGGTCAGGAAACGCTGAGTTACTTATTAGATAATGTAACAGATCAATCACGTAGTATGA